TCAGGGCTGAGCGCAGTTCTTCAAGGGCGCTCTGGGTGGGCCTGGCTCTGCTTTCTGTGCAGGGAGGGGCTCTGGCCTGGCTCACCTGGTGGGTTTACTCTTGGGACGTCATGGAACCTGTCACCTACTTCATCACTTACTCCACCAGCATTGGGGTCTACGCCTACTATGTTCTAACCAAACAGGTAAGAACATCATTAGAGTTGGAGCCATTCTAAACTTTAATTTCAGCCTTATAAAGATATGAGAGGAATTTATCCTAGATCTGTAGTGACCCTTGCTATTAGCATGGCATAGCGTAGAGCTGGGTGATAATGCAGTTGTTCACCATTGCTGACTTTTTTTTGGCAAAAAATATCTCATTATTCTGAATAAGACTACAGTTGTGATTTAAATGTGATTATTTATAAAAGGTAAACTCCAGACTTAATTTGGCTAAAAAGTCTATTACACCTATTTTTTTTAAGATTGAGGCTTGAACACTAAACGTTTTTTTCATTATAACATTAAATTTCTCTGGTAAAATTTACATTTTCTTTGGGGACTGTTTAGCCTCACATCACCCTGCATGTATGTTTCCACTGTGAACAGATTTAAGAAGCTATCAGAAAACATTCTCATATCCTTAACAGTTTCACGGAATAATTTTACAAAGTAGTTTTTAGAGCCATTATATGCTTCGGAAGTCTGGTTCCTATCACTGGAGCTGTGAACAGTTCTTACTCTGCAAGTTTCCTTAGAATGGTGTATTTAATGTCAAAATACTGTGAATGACTTTCTTTACAGCTTAACAATTTAATTATGCAGAAATTTTGAAAAACCAGTGTAAGTCCCCTTAAAAATTTGTCATGTTTGTCATTATTTTGTTAAGATACTTACTTAAGGAAAATTTCAAATGATCAGATCTACGTCTGAACGACAGAAAAGGTTTTGTCTTGAGACTACCTTAGATCAGAATTGTCTCTTTGTTCTATCTATCTTGGACCGTTAAAATGTTTAATATCGACTTTTCTTCCACAGGACTATGTTTACCCAGATGCAAAGGACCGACAGTTCCTGCATTACTTCTACAAGGGTGCCAGAAGACAACAGTTTAATGTGCGGAAGTACAACAGGCTTAAGGACGAGCTGTCTTCGGTACTGGTCTTTTATACTTTTCAAAAGACAGATTTATGTTCTTACTATTTTTTTTGACAACATTCATTCTTTCTGTCTCATTCTTCAGGTCGAGGAAGACCTAAGACGTTTGCGGAACCCAAATCGACTCAGATTGCCTGTGGAACAGATCCAGCCCAGTGCTGAATAATACGTGCAAAAAACCCACGCAAAAGATGGACATGCTTCCGTTCCCTAAATTGGATGGTTTGATACTCCTGCTATTTATAATATCGATAACGGATGACATCTCATGAACTGCTTGTAGAAAAAAAAAATTTGTTGTGTTCCTTATTTGGAGCATCTACATACTGAAATAAAGCACTTACCCTGAATTTTACACCGTTCATGCTTTCATTTTGTTATTTTGCTGTGATTTAGATTGGCAAAATGGAGGGATTATCCCCTGGGCCACAGTGACATGTTTTTAACTTTAATCAAGCAAATTGATTGAAAATTAGATGAATGGAATTGGAATTGATGATACATTTTTAAAATCTGCTTCATATTTTTACTTGATCTTGAAGAGAATATAAACTTAATTTTATGCTGTCCATTAATTACTTGGATTTTGCCTTTGGGAACAATTTTGTGCTATTAAAGGTCATTTTAAACAACTGTCAGTCCAAAGAGGAATATTTTCAGGCTGTGCACTTTAAGAAAACCATAAAAAATCTGGATAATTATCAGAATCTGCAAGAAAATTGTTTTAAATCTGTATTATTACGGATGAGCCGTTTCACAGTTTATATTTTAAACAATTAAAAAAAAAACATGAACTTTCCTTTCTTGTGTAATTATTTAAACTACAACGCCAGCCAAGATACATGTACTTCAAAGAGGTGTAAGCTTGTTTTGTACGGACGTTTTCTTAAACTAATACTTTTTTTTTTCTCCCTTTTTTTTCTCACTTTTTAAACTCTTTTAAATGAGAAAGGGTGACATTCCATCTTTCAGATGTTTACATGGAACTGCACGCTCAACCACAGGAGGCGTCTAAGGAGACTTGTGGAAACTTTAACGGGTGTGGTTAAGTTCCCTGCAAAAAGGACACAAAATTCTCTGCTCTCAGTGCAAATATGAGAGGAATTAAAACACCCATCAGCTCTCTGCTCATTTAACAGGCTTAAGCTGGATCAGTTAACTTCATCTATTCAATAAAGCAGTTGCACAGCCAGTGTAGTAAAAGTGATTAATACTGTACCGTTCACAAGTTGCTAGGCGACATGCATTCATTCAGTATTTTAAATTTAAGTTCTCTGATGTCTGCATAGAAGCTATGTTTCCATAGCCCAGATGCAGTTCACATGCCCATTTCCAACTCTATGACTTGGTCCCAGAATGAAACAAGCTGTTTTGCCTTTTAAGGTGGGCTCTACTACTCTAACCAGGCCAAAACCATTAGTAAAAACTACTGTTGCATTGATCCCAATTTTTTTTTTTAGTACTCACTGATACAGATTCTGTTAAAATACCATAACCATAACCTACTTAGAATTAAGTAGTTGTTAGTGTAAATGAGAGCAGTGTACCTTAATGGTCAAATCATTAAAATCTAGCTGCTTTAAAATGTGTATTAGTCAACTATGTTACATTAGTTACCTTGAATCAAGTAGCACTGCAGTAGAGAATAGCAGTGGAGAAAAGCACATCTGTACAGCTGTGAGTACAGTATGTTTCATAGTTTTGATCCTCATCTGTTTGTTTCAACAACAGTCTCTACAAGAATCCCATTCGAAGCTAATGCAAGGAGCTCACTTGTGCAGTTTTATGTCTTCTCTGAGTCTTTTGTATGGCTGCTTGAGCTGTAGTTAAAAGTCCTCTAGAGCCTGAAATGCACTGTGTGATTTTAGAAATCTTGTTCTTTGGTGACTCACACTGTACATTTAAATAGACCATCAAGCATGGACAAAACCTAAGATTAATACATTCACACTGTATGAAAACACCTGGCCCATGCTACATGAAACGCTCTGTCTTCAAATAAAGATTTTCATTCAAAATAACAGGCTGTGCACCAAGTACTGAGCATGCTGAACATGAACATGCTGAGAAACTAAGCAGTGCATGGTCTCTTTACAGCCTATTTTACAAAAAATCACCATATTAACATTTATACCTCACAATTCAGCGTAAATAGTAGAAAATTTGGCTTCTTTTTTTTTTGCCTCCGTTTTGCTAGCCTATGTTTGGCTACCTGTATTGGGGAAGCATCTGACCTCCATGGAGTCAGTAACACTGCTGTGAGAGCAGACCCTCATTCACTTCCAGCTTGAGTCATTTGTTCATTAGCATGGCAGCATAGACGCAACTAATGTCGCATGGTATCGGCTGGTATTGGGTGTTAGTATCGGTGTATTTTTATGAGTATAAGTAAATGACCATGGTATCAGTATATACCCAATACCAGTTTTGGTGTTGATGTATTCCTAGTAAAACCCATTAATATTTTGAGCTTTGCACATTTCTTTGCATGGGAGTGTAGCATTAGCTCTGTCATTCTGCTTGTGATCTATGTTAGAAAGATCAGAGATCTGTTTATGGGAACAGGACAAAAAAGAAGAGTGTAAGCAGGAGTTTTAATATGCAGCCTACACCGATCAGGCATAACATTATGACGCTCTGGGCAAAAACTGAAAAACATGGAGAAACGAGGTCTTCTTCCGACAGCAGCGATATGCTGAACATTATAATATACACTGATCAGGCATAACATTATGACCACCTCCTTGTTTCTCCCCCATGGACCCTCACAGAGCAGGTACTATTTGGATGGTGGATCATTCTCACCACTGCAGTAACACTGATGCGGTGGTGGTGTGTTAGTGTGTGTTGTGCTGGTCTGAGTGGATCAGACACAGCAGTGCTGCTGGAGTTTTTAAACACTGTGTCCACTCACTGTCCATTCTATTAGACACTCCTACCTTGTCAGTCCACCTTGTAGATGTAAAGTCAAAGACAATAGCTCATCTGCTATTGACACAGCAGTGACACTGAGGTGTCAAAAAACTCCAACAGCACTGCTGTGTCTGATCCACTTGTATCAGCACAACACATGCTAACACACCACCACCATGTCAGTGCTACTGCAGTGCTGAGAATGATCCACCACCCAAATAGTACCTGATCTGTGGGGGTCCATGGGGGTCCTGCCCACTGAAGAACAGGGTAAAAGGGGGCTAACAAAGTATGCAGAGAAACAGATGGACTACAGTCTGTAATTGTAGAAGTACAAAGTGCACCTATATAGTAAGTGGAGCTGATAAAATGGACAATGAGCGTAGAAACAAGGAGGTAGTCATAATGTTATGCCTATTCAGTGTATATTATAATGTTCAGCATATCGCTGCTGTCGGAAGAAGACCTCGTTTCTCCATTTTTGACGTTTTTCAGTTTTTGCCCAGAGCGGTGAGCAGCCCTGTCCACAGCGCCTGGGGAGCAGTTGGGGGTTAGGTGCCTTGCTCAAGGTTCCCTAACTTCCAGCCCATGACAGGGGGTTAAGGTTAGGGTCATGGAGAGTTCACTATATAGTACTAATAGATGTGGGTGAACATGTACATGCCCTACCATAACTCTCTGTCACTCCTTTGCCACCCCTGGTAAAACTTTCTAGATTCACCACTGGACAGTAGGTGGAGAAGACAGGGTCTGGAGCTGGACATCATGGAAAACTGCAAACTGGGAGGATGAAGTCTTCCAGTGCAAATTCTGTCAGCCCTCATTCTTTCAGTGATTGATGTGCTGATAAGAGGAAGCAGCCTAAACAGGACAAAATAGTACATATTTTTTAGATTTGAATTTGCACTTTTTCACAGTGCAAAGACTTTTAGAGCTAAACACCAAACAGCCATACGAGGGAAAATGACAGCCAAGAAAAGTGACAAAAACGAACAAGAGGGGGAGAAAACAAACACACGTTAACTGACACATAAGAGTAACAAATGTGAAAATGTATTGAATCAAATGCCGTACGTTATACAAATCTTACAGCATCGTGTCTGATGGTTTACTTCTCTTTGGGAGAGTTGGGCCTGAGTACTTCCACCTTAAAGATTCAGATATTTTTGAGTCTGACTGTTCACTCCTTTTTGGGCCTGAAGTAGAGTTTCCTGGTGAGCATGGAGGTGAAGCAGGGCATCTGTTTCTTGATTCCATGGGTGCGTCTGGACACCTTCAAGTTCACAAGGGTCAAGAGCTCAGTGAACTCTAGAGTTGAGCCTTGCTCTTGCAAGGTTTCACATAAGTCTTGAATGTAGAATGAGCCAAGCGTTGTGTGGCGGAAGGCAGCGAATCCTGTTCAATTAAGAAATAACATTAGAATTCATTTTTGAATAGGATCACTTAAAGATACATCGCTTCAGAAGATGTTTCAGTCTAGATTCAAAGGACAAAATGTATTATATAGGGTTAGTTACACTGAGTTGTCAGTTTATTAGCTACACTCAACTTTTATCTACACTCAGTAACAATAAGATGAATCAGTTATGTTTATTAAAAACATTAAACATCTGTTCTGTCGTACTATGTTAATGTTTAGCAACAAAATAATAGCCTAATGACAACAAAATGGAATTTTCTTCAGAAAAAACAGGGACACCACTTTTATGGTTGGCAAGAATTTGGAAAATCAGGAAATATCATGTTGGCACCTACTCATAAATCTGGGATCAGACATAGGATTGTGAGACTCTTATCCTGGGCCAGATCAACAGCTTGTGCTTCTTGTGTACTATATGCTTCTTTCTATCTACAGTATATACCAAAACACACAAAAAACATTTGAAACATTTCAAAACTGTGACAAAATGAGCCCTAATTAAAGCTAGTCACATGACTTTTTTATTTGATGCAAACTCTGAATCAGTGTATTGAACATTCCACTTCAAATGAACCAAATCCATTTCAAACCTGAGTTTCTAGTTTGTGTGATTATTTATTTAGTTAGTCCTCTATTGTAAGTAATTGATTTCACATCCTTACCCTGTATGTTTTGTTATTGTCATGTTTGTGTTTATTGTTTCTGTTAGTTGTTTATGTTCATATTGTGTCCTCCTTCTTTTTCCTTTACTAAGTCTGTATCCCTGTTGGTAAACTGTGTTCTTACTTATTTCTTATGTATTCTGGATTGTAGATAACAACCTGAAATCTGTGCCATATTCTGTTAATTCACTGTTATCAAGTTCAATACAGATCAACTATCTATATCTCTCTGCATGTTTAATGACCCTCTTGTGTTCTAATGGACACACCATCTCAATAGCATGTTTCCAACTTGCACGCTGCTCTCCCACAACTATTTCACAACCACTGAACTCTCAAACCATCGTTCTTCTTTGTAATGAGTTTATTAATTGTTATTCTCATTTATTTATTTATAACCTCATTCATTCAGCTTTTTTCCTTTGTCATCCAACTGCACACTTTTTATCACTCACCCTCAGCTACACAGTAGCACATGAGGAAATCTGCCCCTGCTGGGAGTGTGTAGACAATGGCAGCGTCCTCCTCCACCTCACTAGACATCTCATCTTGGGACATGCCAGTCACAGCATTGTCGGTGATGTCACCGCGGCATGCCTACATTTACAAAGGAGGAATAAGCTTGGTTTTATGATTTAAAGAGTGCTGTTAGAGTTCATTCATACTGGTGGCCCGTGGCCCAAAGGTTGAGAAACCCTGGTTTAGATCACATAATAGGCATCTAAGGCATGCACAAAAAACAAACAAACAAACAAACAAAACATAGAGCTCGCTTGTAAAACCTGGTTGTTTCTACCACTGGTTATGGTGACTAAAAAACATGAACAATTAATGCTGTCTGAAAACGGATAAACTACTTAGTAGAAACAGTTTCTCTGTAGCAGCCTCAGTGATTTGATGAGAAGGATTTAAATGTGTTTCACTACTTTGTTACAGAAACGTAATGACATTTCTCTAACACATTACGTTGTACCATGTTAAACCCAACACTGTTCATGCACAAAAAGACAGATAATAAAATTACAACACACTTTAATATCTGTTGTCGTTACATGATGTGAGAGTCACCTGGAAGATGAAGATCTTGGGCTTTCCTACAAGGCTTTTGCACTGGTCTCCCCTGAAGAGTGCTGTTATTTCCTTAATGTCAACCTTATCATCACGGGCAAAGACATGGCCATCTTCCCCATGACTCAGGAAAATACACACAAAGCAGTCGGCATCTGTATGGTCAGCTTCAGCAGCTGTGATGAGACACATTTCAGAGAATTTATAGTAAATAAATCATTTCTCAGAAATGCTTGAGCAGATACACAGATCAAACGTTGAAAGGTTGTACCTTTTCGTAATTTGTCCATCATGATCTTCTTGTTTGAATCATTATACGGTTCCACATGAAACCCTAGCTGTTGAAATCTGAAACAAAAGTTGTGTATTAGAAAAGAAACTGTCCATCTCTGAGCACTGTCCATATCTGTTCTGCAAGTTGGTCTATAAAATCGCAACCAGGCACAATTACTGTTTGTTTATTACTGAATTTAACATATTGGAAAAACATAAAATGTGGTCTGTATAAAAGTTACACTTATGCTTACTTTTATATTATGTGTGCATTTCATGTTATGAAGAAAAATGTCAAATTGAAGTCTTTTCTATGTGGAGCATGTGTTCTTTTTTCTTTTACTTAGAAAACCAACAAAACATGTAGCTGAATTAATTTTTCACCCAATTTGTGTGTGCACCTTTCAGTGAGGTCTTCTTTGTCTTTAGCTGTGCCATGACGTTCCCTCAGTTTTAACTTCCATAAAAAGCGTTCCTGGTTGAAGATGAGGGCTGTTCCTCGTTGCTTGTAGTCCATCTTGTACTCCGGAATCAAATCTGTGTTGACCACACGAATAGATCAAATGTAAACGTGTTACATAAGATTGCATTCATACTGAGTTCACTTTAAAACTATACTACACTTATTAAACTTTTTAAGAACTGCGTTTCTATATAAATATTAGACTTCTTTGTTAGTCTGGTGTAACCAGCACAAGAACTTCAAGACTACAGTACAAAAGCTCATACAGAGGATTCATTTTCCTACATTCCCTTGTGTATCGTGTGGGAGTAGATCCCAGTGTCCCAGTCTGCAAATGCGCTGTACATGATTCACAGCTGGAATTTCCTGTAACCATTTATACCCTCATAAATGGCCAAATGAAAGTATAAAATACAAAATCATTATCCCTGTTTTGTCAATAACCTAATCATGGCTCCTAATATCATTGGCTAAAACCACAACTAATAATATAATTTTCAGTGTGTAGCCTGTGTGCAAACTTAAGAAAGTAAAATGTAGTGCTCCAGGTTCCAAATCCCTTTATTCATCCAGTAGCTAACAGTCTTTCAGTGACTGTGTTAAGGGGAAAAGCACAACGCTACGTTAACTTCCCAGTTGAGATAAATACTCATGTATACAGAGAATACAAACAAGACAAGGCAAGATAAGAGCAATATGAGAGAAGAAAACAGAATTTGTTAATTACCTGAGGCTTTCTTTTGGCATGCCATTGTGCATCTCAATGTGCATCTGAGCTCCAGTAACGAAGAAGAAGGACTGAACAGATTAACTACAGGAAGAACTTTCCATATGCAAAGACAATACTACCCTCACTTCATACCAAGCTACAGAAAAGCCTCGTAACCACGTACTCCAGACATATGGCGCCACCTTCTGTTAAATAAATGAATTTTCTTTTCGTCTACTTAGAGACTGCTGCAGAACTGCTGGATGAATCGCTTTAATACGACTTCACAGTAATAGAAAAAGGGTATGGTTTATACTTGATGGAAAGCTCATTTAAGAAGTATACTGTCTAACACTGTGCTCCTGGGCCCTTAAAAACAGAGAGAGTGGGTTCAGCTGAAGTATGAATATGAGGGCTCTAAGTATGACTTTTTTGGGGGGGCCCCAACTGCCTAAGCATAGAAAATGGTTTAAAATAAGTATTTTAATGTCACAAACTTCAATACCAATGTAACATTTATGTGCACATATATATATATATATATATATATATATATAACTAGACTTTTTGCCCAAGTAATTTTGGGCCATTCCTTTTGATCTATTCTTCATGAGGTTCACACACAATGTGAAGGGCAACAGGTATTTTCAAATTATGTCAAAAACTAAAACAATAGTTTTTTGTTTTTGTGTTATGTTCTGACAGCATAAAATGTGTGTGTGTGTGTGTGTGTGTGTGTGTGTATGACAAATTTCATTGGTACAGTGTAAAGATTATAGGATTAAACAAAAGGTAGAAATAAAAAAGAGCTAAGCCCAAGTAATAACAAACAAATATAAATCTCAGAAAAGTATGAAAAAAAAATATAAAAGAGAGGACAATTCAATGACAGCTGGGATAGGCTCCAGCTCCCCATCGCGATCCAGAAGGATGAGCTGTTTAGAGGATGTGTGTGGATGTGTGTGTGTGTGTGTGTGTGTGTGTGGGTGTTTTAAATAACACAAAAGGGTGTGGGGCTATGAGTCACATCCATTGCAATTTCCTATTGCTTAATCTATAACCCCATTTCCCAAAAAGGCTGGGACGCTGTGCAAAATGTAAATAAAAACAAAATGCAATGATGTGCCAATCATTTAAACCCTATATATCATTGAAAATAGTACAGACACCATTTCAGATGTTGAAACTAAGAATTTTTTTTGTTTTTTGAAAAAATATTTGCCCATTTTGAATTCAATGCCAACAACACCTTCCAAAAAAGTTGTGACGGGGGCATGTTTACCACTGTGTTTCATCACCTCTTCTTTTAACAACACTTTGTAAGGCTTTGGAAACTGAGGAGATGTTAAATGTTTTCGCATTCTTGTTTGATATAGGATTTTAGCTGCTCAACAGTTTCGGGGTCTCCTTTGTCATATTTTTAATTTCATAATGTGCCAAATGTTTTTAGTGGTGACAGTTCTGGACTGCAGTCAGGCCAGTTTAGCACCTGGACTCTTTTAATATGCAGCAATGCTGTTGCAACACATGCAGAATGTGCTTTGACATTGTCTTGATGAAATAATCAAGGCCTTCCCTGAAAAAGACGTCATCTGGATGGCAACACGTGTTGCCAAAACATGTAAATATTGTTCAGCATTAATGGTGCCTTCACAGATGTGCATGTCACCCATGCCATGTACTAATGCACCCCTATGCCATCATGAATACTGGCTTTTGAACTGTGCACTGATAACAAGCTGAGTAGTCTTTAGCCCGGAGGACACAGTGTCCATGATTTCCAAAAATAATTGCAAATGTTGATTCATCGGACCACAGAACACGTTTCCACTTCCTCTCAGTCAATTCTAAATGAGCTTGGGCCCAGAGGAGGTGGCAGCATTTCTGGATCCTGTTTTTCTTCTTTGCGTTTTAAAGTGTCAATTAGCATTTGTGGATGCAGGGCTGTCTGTGTTTACAGACAGTGGTTTTCATAAAGTGCCGCCTGAGGGCCCAAAGATCATGGCCAGCAAATATTGGTTTTTGGCCTTGTCCCTTGCATACAGAGATTCCTCCAGATTCTCTATCTATTTATGATGTCAATCTATCTTAATGATAGTATGTACTGTAGATGATGAAAAGCAAAAGTTCTTTGCTATTTTATGTTAGGAAACATTATTCTTCAATTGTTGCACTATTTGCTCCTGCAGTCTTTCACAGAGTGTTGAACCCCTCCCCATCTTTACTTCTGAAAGACTCCGCCTCTCTGGGATGCTTTTTTATATCCAATCATCTTATTGACCTGTTGTCAATCAACCACCAGGTGTTTTCCCCCCCCTTCCAACATGTTGTTGGCATCAAATTCAAAATGGGCATATATGTTTCAAAAATCTATAAAATTTCTCAGTTTCAACATTTGATTTGTTATCTTTGTACTCTTTTCAATAAAATATAGGCTTAAAATAATTTGCACATCATTGCATTTTGTTTTTATTTACATTTTGCACAACTCGGCAACATTATAAATGAAGGTCACCCTTAATGTTCTCTGAGGTTGAATAAAGGTTGATTGATTGATTGACTCACAAGCTTTTTCAGATTTTGATTGAACTTGTTTTGTGATATTTTGGGTTGCACAAAACATTTTCTGAGACCTTTTCACTGAAATCATTACTCACCATACAGCTCAAGAAAATAATAGCGAAATAAACTGAATATAATACGGGATGTTTTACTGAATGATGTCAGTTGTTTAGCTTTAGTTACGTAGATCTGTGCTCCGATGCTGAATGCTGACCTTTGCGCCTGTGGCATAGTGGCACTCGAATCGATGAACTTGAAGACTTCTTCAAGACTTTTGTGCTCAATATGACGTGTAATTATTGTGATTCAAACAAGTAACATAAACCTATAGGTTGATATTAGATGCTGGTGGGTGGAGGTGCATGCCTTGCGAGCATCAGCTGGTCTGAGAACAATAGAGAATAAACAAGTAAATTTAATTGTCATTTTTATGTTTTTAATTCTCTGTTTTTTGTTGTTTGTTTTTTGTGCTGGACCCTATAAGATCCTATTTACAATGCTGATCTACAAATGATGTTAGTGACGTAATATAAAAGACTGTAAGCATGAGCACAGTATTTGTCATCTATCCGCGCATCACATGAATGATCATTTGAGGAAATACTGTGATCTCTTACACCGAGCACCTGAATTACCATGACATTCTGTACAACTACAGTTAATGATGTACCGTTTCCCGTCAACTAGACAGCTATAGACAGTCATTGCTAGCATGCAGCTCATTCTACATGTTAAATGTGTCTTTCAATGGGGCTACGCACAGCAGTATGGGTTCGCTACTGAATTTTAAACACAGGGATGCAGGAAGGTATTTTAAGTTGGGGATGCTGATATTTTAAGTAGCATATATGTGATGTGAACGGTGACGTCATGCAAAATGATTCGCCTTTTTTACTTATTTATTTATTTATTTATTTTGGCCAATGTACATCAGAATGTGTCATACAGTCAGATGACAGTATTTACATATAACTGACACCTCAAACCACTAACACACATCATCACTCTGCTCTTTCGCCCTGGACCAACTTTATGCAAATGAGCTGAGTGGCAACCAAACAGATTGTTGAAAACTGCTGAAAAACATCACAGAAACCATTCAAAGATACTGCTGGTTCCTGGTGGAGTCCAATGGTCACTAATGCTAATGGTTCTTCAAAGGGTTTATTGCTAGAGACAATGGTTCTATATCGAACCGCAAACACTCTAAAAACCATTTCATACTTTGCATGTTGAAATGGTTCTACTGATTGATGAGCAATGTGTTGTCTATGGTTTTATATAGAACCTTTCTATATAGCACCAAAAAGGGTTCTGCTGTTGTTATGATGTCAAGCATTCAACAACAGAAGAAGCCCTTTTTGATGCTACATAGAACCATAAACAACACACTTTTCATAAATTTGTAGAACCATTTCACCGTGCAAAGAAACTTTAAAGCATGCAAATGGTTCTGGACTGGCTCATGGTTCTTTATGGAACTCTTGTCTTTACAGCTGTCAGCTCACTGTAATGAAAATGCGTGTTAATGATTTTAAAAATCTAGATTTTTAAATGTAAATGAAATGCAATACAAATTCTAAAATAAGAACACATGGGTCTTTACTACGCTCAAAATATGATAAAGTTTAAAACCTTTCATTATTATCGTTATTTTTTGTGGTTGCAGTCCTGAATCTGGAGCTGCTGCAGCCCCTCGGCACCTCCGCCTCGCACATCCGTTTAAACATCTTTAAGTGATTAACGCAGATTGCAATTGTTTTCTGTTTTAAAACACTTTCTTTAACACACATCCATGATTTTTGTTTATATTGAGGTGATGATGATGATGAAGGAACTGTAAAGGTAAATCCCGGTGAGGATTTTAACAGTGGGGTTCTTGTTTCTGTAATTACTCCAACACATTCAGGTAGTTCATTTTTAATTGTTCTTCTTTTCTTATTATTGTATTTCCAATCACTTGCTCTGTGCTCAGACATTTTTTGAAGTCGTCAGCAACATAGTGTACCAAGAAACAGTCCAGGATCCAGTCCAGGAAGAGTATGAGGCAGAAGGTGGTGTGTTCGAGAGGATCGACCAACTGAAAAACATCTGTGTCTATTGCTTTAGGAAATTTAGACTTTGTGTATTGCAGATAGATGTTGCCCCAAATAATGATGAAAGAGAGAATATGCATAATAATGTCCCTCAAAATAATGTCCAAAGAGAAGGTGAGCAAAATAATGTCCCTCAAAATAACGACAAAAGATTTACTGTGTGTGTGCGTGTATGTGTGTGTGTGTGTGTGTGTGTGTGTGATGGGAAGGGTTGGAGGCCTGAGGTGTATGACTACTGTAAAACCTCTACTTTTTCCATCAATTAAAGTTCTGTCAGTTGCCAGACTTTACCTTATATATGGCGGTGAGAGCCACAAGAGGTGGCATGGCGCCAGCAACTGAACACCAAATGCTAACGGGAGCCACGAGAAGCTCTCAATAAGGGCAGCATGAGCTCTGACCTGTATTACTTGGGCTGTGAAAAGCAGAAAATGAAACCAACTTCTAAGACTGAACTTTGGAAGTGTTGAAAAAAGTTCTGG